GTGCTACTGCCCAGCTCTCTGAATGATCCTAAAGGGTCTGGATTAGAACTGGCCAGCAGATCGCCCTGCGGATCCACTTCATCCACTGGCCACCGACTACCTACTGGAAGGGTACAGGCAAACCTGTCATTGTGTGCTGTCATCATTTTCCACCACTGGCCATGGTCATCTGGTGGTACTCTATCAGCTATCGCACCCAGATGTTTGAGCCTGGCATAAGGTCGTTCCTGGGTGATCTGGACCTGGTTCCATGGCCTGGGTACCTCAACTACCCGAATCTTACATTTATGTTACCCAGGTCCTCTGTCCAAATGCCAGGCAAACTTGGAGAGTCTCGGGACTTGGGAGCACAGAGTTTGGAAGAACATTGACTGTAGAGCCTCAGAGCCCTGCAAAGGTCGCTCCTCCAAACCATATTTAGTTTGGTGCCAGAATGAGCCCCCCCCCCCCATTAACAGTACGCCCACATGTACAGTATTTCAGTCTGCGCTGGGCTCCATTTTGGATTAAGGGGTGCGTTCAGAAACAAGGTGAAGAGGAAGTAGGGAGACCGCAGGTGGGCTTCGTGAAATGCATGCTGAGTATTCAAGGGCCAATAGTGGAAGGGTGGGCTGCCAGAAAAGAAAAAGAGTGGCACCCAATGCAATCCTTTAGCGGATGTAGGGTCAGTTCACTTCAGCCGCCATATTGCAACTCAATGGATGGTGCGCCATGGTGAAGATGTGTCTATTCCGGTGCATTGCACTCCATCTCCCTCCCCCGTTTTGTTTTGAACAAACTTTATTAAACTGTCACACAGAACGTTCTATTGGCTGGCATGTGATGAATGAGCGATGCAGTGGTGTGAACCGGCTACACCAGACACAAGGCATTTTGCGATGGGGGTGTGGTGGGACTGCACTGGAATAGCCCCCCCCCCCAATGCAGTTCTCTGAATCTGGTGGGAATCTACCCTAAAGCTTCCATTACCTGAGCACACAGGAAAGTGGGGGGCGGGGCAGTGTTCACCCTCCTTCCCGAATGAGACCAGTCCATATGCCTGCAACATGGAAGGGCGGGGTGTCTTGCCAGTGGGGATCCTCCCAGGAAAGGAACTTGTCCCCATGTTGGTGAGGACAAAGGCCTCTTCCCCACAACCCTGGTGGTTATGGGGGTCTGGGGGAAAATAATAACCTCATAGCTCCCAACTGTTCCTGATTTTGAGGGACTGTCCCTCATTTGGGGGTGTCTTGCCAGTGGGGATCCTCCCAGGAAAAGAACCTGTCCCCATGTTGATGAGGACAGGGGCCTCCTTCCCCACATCTCTGGCCCGGTGGTTTTGGGGGTCTGGGTGACAATAATAACCTCATAGCTCCCAACTGTCCCTGATTTCGAGGGACTGTCCCCCTCTTTTGGAACAAAGTCCCCCTGTCCCCCTCAATTGGAACAAAGTCCCCCTGTCCCCCTCAATTGGAACAAAGTCCCCCTCAATTGGAACAAAGTCCCCCTGATCCCCTCATTCGGAACAAAGTCCCCCTGATCCCCTCATTCGGAACAAAGTCCCCCTGATCCCCTCATTCGGAACAAAGTCCCCCTGATCCCCCTCAATCGGAACAAAGTCCCCCTGTCCCCCTCATTGGGAACAAAGTTCCCCTCATTGGGAACAAAGTCCCCCTGTACCCCTCATTTGGAACACAGTCCCCCTCAATCGGAACAAAGTCCCCCTGTCCCCCTCAATCGGAACAAAGTCCCCCCATCCCCCTCATTGGGAACAAAGTCCCCCCCGTCCCCCTCAATTGGGAACAAAGTCCCCCTGATCCCCTCAATTGGGAACAAAGTCCCCCTGATCCCCTCATTCGGAACAAAGTCCCCCTGTCCCCCTCAATCGGAACAAAGTCCCCCTGTCCCCCTCAATCGGAACAAAGTCCCCCCATCCCCCTCATTCGGAACAAAGTCCCCCCCGTCCCCCTCAATTGGGAACAAAGTCCCCCTGATCCCCTCATTCGGAACAAAGTCCCCCTGTCCCCCTCAATCGAAACAAAGTCCCCCTGTCCCCCTCATTGGGAACAAAGTTCCCCTCATTGGGAACAAGGTCCCCCTGTCCCCCTCATTCGGAACACAGTCCCCCTCAATCGGAACAAAGTCCCCCTGTCCCCCTCAGTTGGGAACAAAGTCCCCCCCGTCCCCCTCAATTGGGAACAAAGTCCCCCCCCGTCCCCCTCAATTGGGAACACAGTCCCCCCCCGTCCCCCTCAATTGGGAACACAGTCCCCCCCGTCCCCCTCAATTGGGAACAAAGTCCCCCCCGTCCCCCTCAATTGGGAACACAGTCCCCCCGTCCCCCTCATTGGGAACAAAGTCCCCCCCCCCCCCCCGTCCCCCTCATTGGGAACAAAGTCCCCCTCAGTTGGGAACAAAGTCCCCGCCCCCCTCAATTGGGAACAAAGTCCCCCCCCCCCGTCCCCCTCAATTGGGAACAAAGTCCCCCCCCGTCCCCCTCAATTGGGAACAAAGTCCCGCCCCCGCCCCCCTCAATTGGGAACAAAGTCCCCCCCCCCCCTCAATTGGGAACAAAGTCCCCCCCCGTCCCCCTCAATTGGGAACAAAGTCCCCCCCCGTCCCCCTCAATTGGGAACAAAGTCCCCCCCCCGTCCCCCTCAATTGGGAACAAAGTCCCCCCCCGTCCCCCTCATTGGGAACAAAGTCCCCCCCGTCCCCCTCAATTGGGAACAAAGTCCCCCCCGTCCCCCTCAATTGGGAACAAAGTCCCCCCCCGTCCCCCTCATTGGGAACAAAGTCCCCCCCGTCCCCCTCATTGGGAACAAAGTCCCCCGTCCCTCTCATTTGTCCCTCACGTTGGTCTGATGTATACCGATGTTCATAAAATGTATTGTTTGTCTATAAAGTGTTGTATTTGTATATTTCCAAAGCCAATATAAAGGAATATTAGTGGTAATAATCACTTGTGGGTTTAGCCAATCATTTCCTGCGTAATAATTCTCTTATAGGTGGAGGGCGGGGCAGGGGGTGTGTCCTATACCTATATACTTTTCCTTATAGGTGTCTCTCGTTTCCATCTCAGAAAGTCGTGAGCTGGGAGGATCCTCCAATCATGACCCGACCCCGATGACTTCCTGCTCCTGAATGGCAGAACGAATGAATACACGAATGGACGGCAATACCCGGATGACATCATTGACCGAACATACCCAATGACGTCATAGATGGTATGCTCCCATCCCCCTCCCCATGGCTCAGAAGCCGTACTGTGTACATTGTTCATGCCGGGGTGTATTATAAAGGGGTTGGTGTGATGCCGGGGAAGAGAGGAGGAGGGGGGGACAGGTGCATGGCTGGGATGGGATGAGATGGGATGGGACGGGATGAGAGGCGACGGGATGGAATGGGACGAGAGGGGATGAGAGGGGACAGGTGCATGGCTGGGATGGGACGGGAGGGGATGGGACGGGATGGGATGGGAGGGGATGGGACGGGAGGGGATGGAATGGGACGGGATTGAGGGGGGACAGGCGCATGGCTGAGATGGGATGGGAGGGGATGGGACGGGAGGGGACGGGATGGAATGGGATGGGAGGGGATGGGACGAGAGGGGATGGAATGGGACGGGATTGGAGGGGATGAGAGGGGATTGAGATGGAATGGGAGGGACAGGACATGGGACGGGAGGGCATGGCTGGGATAGAGGATGAGAGGGGACGGGAGCATGGCTGGGACTTCTCTCCAGGAAGTGGGACTGTCACTCTGTAATACAATGTATCCATGGGGCGGGGGGGGGGGGGCGGAGCAGAGGGAGGGATGGGAGGCGGAGGTGATGACACAGAAGGAAATCGGAGTTCAGTGTGACTGAGGAAGGGGAGGGGGGGACACCAAGGGGTAAAGAGAGAGACAAGGGGGGGAGAGACGGGGAAAGAGGGGGCAGGAGAGGGGTACAGAGGGGGGAACACGGAGGAGACAGCAGAGGGAAGAGAAAGAAACTCTACAGATTACTCAATCCATCCGAGACAGACGAGTCCGAGAGTGAAAGGAGGAAGAGTGACACCAAACATACAGAGAGAGGAGAGGAGGGGAGGAAAGGAGAGCAGAAGAAAGAGGTGTAGGGAGAGAGCAGGAGGAGAAGAAGAGGGAGAGACAGGAGAGGAGAGAGTAAGAAGAGGGGGGATAGGGGGGAAGGGAGAGGAGAGGAAAGAGAAGAGAGAAACTTTACAGATTACTCAATCCATCCGAGAGGTGAAAGGATTTCATCTACAGAGAGACGAGTCTGAGAGTGATAGAAGGAAGAGTGACACCAGACATACTGAGAGGGGAGAGGAGGATAGCAGAGAAGGAGGGAGAGAGGAGTAGGGAGGAAAGAAGAGGGAGAGACAGGAAAGGAGAGAGTAAGAAGGGAGGGAGAGGAGCCCGGTGTGTGGATCTGTGGGATCGGAGGGGGGAAGGGATTGCGGGGTCCAGGTAGGAAAGGTGAAGGTCCGGGAGCTCTGGGCAGACACTGAGGACCTGTCATCGAGTCATCCAGAGAGAAGACCTCATCTCGGTGAGTGACAGATCCTCCTCCATAGTACTCTCCTCCTCCATTCATCACACATACCATGGAGAGGAGTGTCAATGATCCTTCCTCCTCTGTCCTCTATGACGTTTCTGGACTCTACACACCATCTCCAGCCGGGGGGGGGGGGGGGGGGGGGGGTGGGGGGGGACTGGTAGGGGGGACTGACTGACACCTTCTACCTGGATGGAATGTTTAACTTTCTTCTACAGATCTTCTCTATTTACTTTTTTCAACCCTCTTAGTGTCCTCTGATCCTCTTTGCCGATCCCTCCACTGGCCTCCACTCAGTGTCCTCCACCCCTCTCTGCCAATCCCTCCACTGGCCTCCATTCAGTGTCCTCCACCCCCCTCTGCCAATCCCTCCACTGGCCTCCACTCAGTGTCCTCCACCCCCCTCTGCCAATCCCTCCACTGGCCTCCATTCAGTGTCCTCCACCCCCCTCTGCCAATCCCTCCACTGGCCTCCACTCAGTGTCCTCCACCCCCCTCTGCCAATCCCTCCACTGGCCTCCATTCAGTGTCCTCCACCCCCCTCTGCCAATCCCTCCACTGGCCTCCACTCAGTGTCCTCCACCCCTCTCTGCCAATCCCTCCACTGGCCTCCATTCAGTGTCCTCCACCCCCCTCTGCCAATCCCTCCACTGGCCTCCACTCAGTGTCCTCCACCCACCTCTGCCAATCCCTCCACTGGCCTCCATTCAGTGTCCTCCACCCCCCTCTGCCAATCCCTCCACTGGCCTCCACTCAGTGTCCTCCACCCCTCTCTGCCAATCCCTACACTGGCCTCCATTCCGTGCCCTCCACCCCTCTCTGCCAATCCCTCCACTGACCTCCATTCAGTGCCCTCCACCCCTCTCTGCCAATCCCTCCACTCAGTGTCCTCCACCCCTCTCTGCCAATCCCTCCACTCCAGTGTCCTCCACCCCTCTCTGCCAATCCCTCAACTGGCTTCCATTCGGTACCCTCCACCCATCTTTGCAAATCCCTTCACACTGACCTCCATTCAGTGTCCTCCACCCCTCTTGCCGATCCCTCCACTGGCCTCCATTCGGTGTCCTCCACCCCTCTTTGCCGATCCCTCCACTGGCCTCCATTCGGTGTCCTCCACCCCCCTCTGCCAATTTCTCCACTGACCTCCATTCAGTGCCCTCCACCCCTCTCTGCCAATCCCTCCACTCAGTTTCCTCCACCCCTCTCTGGCAATCCCTCCACTGGCTTCCATTCGGTACCCTCCACCCATCTTTGCCAATCCCTCCACTGACCTCCATTCAGTGTCCTCCACCCCTCTTTGCCGATCCCTCCACTGGCCTCCACTCAGTGTCCTCCACCCCTCTTTGCCGATCCCTCCACTGGCCTCCATTCGGTGTCCTCCACTCCTCTCTGCCAATCCCTCCACTGGCCTCCACTCAGTGTCCTCCACCCTTCTCTGCCAGTCCCTCCATTAACATCCACTCTTCAAAACTAGGACCTTGAAAATGTTAACCACAGCCTACAAAGCCATCCACAACTCTGTCCAAAGTATCACCCACACACCGTCTTCTCTGCTCCTCCAATGACCTCCTTCTCTCCAGCTCCCTCATCACCTCTTCCCATGCTCACCTCCAGGATTTCTCCAGAGCCTCTCCCATCCTCTGCAACTTCCTACCCCAATCTCTCTGTCTCCGACTCCATCCACCTTTAGGTGATCCTTGAAAACTCGTCTCCTCAGGGAAGCCTATCCCGCCTCCACCTAACAACTGGACCTTCTCCATCAGCTCATCCCTCACAGTTTTGACCTTTTATACCTCCGTATTAGATTGTAAGCTCCCAGGACCAGAGCCTCCCTGCTCCTCGTGAATATATAGGAACTGCACTGTCTTCCTTCATATTATAACCTGCTGTGCAAAATGATGGCACTTTATAAATCCTGTATAATAATGGTGAGACCCCCCAAAAATAAAATACAAAATATGGGATCCCTTTTGTATGGTAAATATGAAACATTTTTGTGAATATTATGTCGTTCTTCGACCAGCCAGCAGGGGGCACTCTAGGCTCACACTTTCACATGCCTGGTGTTTAGAGAGCTCAGAGGCACAAGCTGAAATTTCTATATGGAGAATGGGTCAGGACATTGACTCCGCCCCCCCACCTCTGTACAACTCCGCCCATAAAGTCCCTGATAGGAGTCAGCCACCACTGTGCTCTAGGGATCCAGAGTAGAACTCTGGTCATGTGACCCTGTCCCTCTGTACATGTGATTTCCATACCCCAAGAGCCTGCGCTGCCGTCGCCTAATCCGTTTGTGTCCAACAGGCGTGACCATCCCGTTTCCAGTGAGTGGGACTCCCCCACATCCATTGGGTTGGACCATGTCTCGGAGGAAGGAGGTGGTGACCCTGACTGGCCTGTGCCTGCAGAACATCGCGGACAACATGCAGAGCGTTTGGATGAAGGATTACATGATGAAAAATATGGAGGAATATAATTTCCTCTTCATTGAAGGACCCTTCAATCAGCTGGGTGAGTACCGCCATGGCCAAGGTGAGCGCCATGGTGTCCTGTGATGGGTGCCCTCACCAGTGCCCATATGTCTATATCTCCTATATGTGTCCCACTCACCTCCTCCCCTCTTCTCCTCAGCCGGCTCGCTGGTCCAGGAACTGATCCGGATTCTGGGAGAATCACACAAGCTGAATAAAGGGTGCCTCCACCTCCTCCTTCAGCCTCACCTATTGGAGCTCAGCCTCCGTTCCTGCGCCGGGCTCGTCAATGTCGCCATAATGCAGCTCGTCACTGTGCGCTGCAAGGTAAGACGGTCCATTGGAAGATCCACTATATGGAACCCCGTTCATGAGCCATCCTCTTTCCTCCAAATACTTTGGCCTCCTTCTGAATCATCCTCTGTCCTCCAGATACTAAGGCCTCCTTCTGAGCCATCCTCTATCCTCCAGATACCAAGGCCCCTTTGAGCCCCTCTTTATCCTTCAGATGCTACGGACCTCCTCTGAGCCATCCTCTATCCTCCAGATACTAAGGACCACTTCTGAGCCTTCCTCTATCCTCCAGATTTTAAGGCCTCTTTTATGAGCCAGCCTCTATCCTCCAGATACTAAGGACCACTTCTGAACCATCCTCTATCCTCCACATACCATGAACTCCTTCTGAACCGTCCTCTATATTCCAGATGCTACAGACCTCCTCTGAGCCATCTTCTATCCTCCAGATACTAAGGACCCCTTCTGAACCATCCTCTATCCTCCAGACACTAAAGGACCCCTTCTGAGCCATCCTCTATCCTCCAGACAATAAAGACCCCTTCTGAGCCATCCTCTATCCTCCAGATACTTAACCCCTTCAGAGTCATCCTCTATCCTCCAGATAATAAGGACCCCTTCTGATCCATCCTCTATCCTCCACATACCATGAACTCCTTCTGATCCATCCTCTATCTTCCAGTTACTTAGGCCCTCTTCGGAGTCCTCCTCTATCCTCCAGATAATAAGGACCCTTCTGATCCATCCTCTATCCTCCACATACCATGAACTCCTTCTGATCCATCCTCTATCTTCCAGTTACTTAGGCCCTCTTCAGAGTCCTCCTCTATCCTCCAGATACCAAGGACTTCTTCTGAACAATCCTCTATCCTCCAGATACTTAGGCCCCCTTCGGAGTCATCCTCTATCTTCCAGATACTTAGGCCCCCTTCGGAGTCATCCTCTATCTTCCAGATACTTAGGACCCCTTCAGAGTCCTCCTCTATCCTCCAGATACTAAGGCTTCCTTCTGAGCCATTGTCTATCTTTTAGATACTAAGGCCCCCTTTTGGAGCCTTCCTCTATCCTCCAGATACCAAGGACTCCTGAGCCATCCTCTATCATGCAAATACTAAGGCATCCTTCTGAGCCTTCCTCTGTCCCCTAAATACCAAGGCCTCATTCTGATCCATCCTCTATCCTAGAGATATTAATGCCTCCTTCTGATCCATCCTCTATCCCCAGATAATAAGTCCTCCTTCTGAGCCATCCGCTATTCTCCAGATACTAAAGACCCCATCTGTGCCATCATCTATCCCCCTGATAGTAAGGCCTCCTTCTGAGCCATCCTCTATACTCCAAATATTAAGGCCTCCATCTGAGCCATCCTATATCCTCCAGATGCTAAATATTAAGGCCTCCTTCTGAGCCATGCTCTATCCCATGGATAGTATGGCCTCCTTCCGAGCCATCCTTATATCCTGCAGATACCAAGGCCTCCTTCTGAGCCATCCTATATCCTCCAGATACTAAGGCCTCCTTCTGAGCCATTCTCTATCCTCCAGATACCAAGTCAACTTCTGAGCCATCCTCTATTCTCCAGAATACTAAGTCCCCTTCTGAGCCATCTCTATCCTCCAGATACTAAAGTCAACTTCTGAGCAATCCTCTGTTCTCCGAATACTAAGTCCCCTTCTGAGCCATCCTCTATCCTCTAGATAAAGCCCCCTTTCTGAAGCATCCTCTATTCCCCAGATACTAGGGCCTCCGGTCTGAGCCATTCTCTATCCTCCACCAGAGGATCATTTCCTTACTGGAGGACACCCAGCATCATCTAGCTATTTCATCCCAAATGAAATGTTTAAATTAAAGATTTCTGTTTTCATTTTACCTTATTGTGCACTCAGTTGTGTCATTACTGGGTCTCTGTGTAATGCAGGCAGATCATGGCTGGTGGGAGGTGCCAGCAGGGTGATATGCAGAACTTCCTAAAAGCATCACAACACCTTGCCTCAGTACTTCTCTCAGGAGCCCTCAGTCCTGATCCAAGCAATGGGCTGACCTTTGGGAGGAGTTATGCAGATATCAGAATGCCTTTATGGGTGGGACTCAGTCTGGAGGAGTGGGTGTTTCCTAGCAGATTGCAATGGCATGCAGACCACCCTAGGTAAAGGGATAGAGGATGGTTCAGAGGAGGGCCTTGGTATCTGAAGGATAGAGATGGTTCAGAGGAGGGCATTGGTATCTGGAGGATAGAGGATGGTTAAGAGGAGGGCCTTGGTATCTGGAGGATAGAGGATGGTTCAGAAGGAGGCCTTAGTATCTGAGGGATAGAGGATGGTTCAGAGGGAGGCCTTAGTATCTGAAGGATAGAGGATGGTTCAGAGGAGGCCTTGGTATCTGAAGGATAGAGTATGGTTCAGAGGAGGGCATTGGTATCTGGAGGATAGAGAATGGTTTAGAGGGAGGCCTAAGTATCTGAAGGATAGAGGATGGTTCAGAGGGAGGCCTTAGTATCTGAGGGATAGAGGATGGTTCAGAGGGAGGCCTTAGTATCTGAAGGATAGAGGATGGTTCAGAAGGAGGCCTTGGTATCTGAAGGATAGAGTATGGTTCAGAGGAGGGCATTGGTATCTGGAGGATAGTTCAGAGGAGGGCTTGGTTTCTGGAGGATAGAGTATGGTTCAGAAGGAGGCCTTGGTATCTGAAAGATGGAGGATGGTTCAGAGGGAGGCCTTAGTATCTGAAGGATAGAGGATGGTTCAGAGGGAGGCCTTAGTATCTGAAGGATAGAGGATAGTTCAGAAGGAGGCCTTGGTATCTGGAGGATAGTTCAGAGGAGGGTCTTGGTATCTGGAGGATAGAGGATAGTTCAGAGGAGGGTCTTGGTATCTGGAGGATAGAGGATGGTTAGAAGGAGGCCTTGGAATCTGAAGGATAGAGTATGGTTCAGAGGAGGGCCTTGGTATCTGGAGGTTAGAGGATGGTTCAGAGGAGGGCCTTGGTATCTGAAAGATGGAGGATGGTTCAGAGGGAGGCCTTAGTATCTGAAGGATAGAGGTTGGTTCAGAGGGAGGCCTTAGTATCTGAAGGATAGAGGATAGTTCAGAAGGAGGCCTTGGTATCTGGAGGATAGAGGATAGTTCAGAGGAGGGTCTTGGTATCTGGAGGATAGAGGATGGAGGATTTAGAAGGAGGCCTTGGTATCTGAAGGATAGAGTATGGTTCAGAGGAGGGCCTTGGTAGCTCTGGAGGTTAGAAGGATGGTTCAGAGGAGGGCCTTGGTATCTGGAGGATAGAGGATGGTTTCAGAGGGAGGCCTTGGTATTCAGATTGAGGGCCTTTCTTTCTAGAGGATAGAGGAGGCCTTGGTATCTGAAAGATGGAGGATGGTTCAGTGGGAGGCCTTAGTATCTGAAGGATAGCGGATGGTTCAGAGGGAGGCCTTAATATCTGAAGGATAGAGGATGGTTCAGAAGGAGGCCTTGGTAGCTGAAGGATAGAGGAAGGCTCAGAAGGAGGGGCCTTGGTATCTGAAGGACAGAGGATGGTTCAGAAGAAGGCATTGGTATATAAAGCATAGAGATTGGTTCAGAAAGCGACCTTAGTATCTGAAGCATAGAGGATGCTTTGGAAGGAGGCCTTGGTATCTGAAAGATGGAGGATGGTTCAGAGGGAGGCCTTGGTATCTGAAGGATAGAGGATGGTTCAATTGAGGGCCTTTCTTTCTAGAGGATAGAGGATGGTTCAGAAGGACGACTTGGTATCTGAAGGATAGAGGATCGTTCAGAAGAAGGCATTGGTATTTGGAGGACAGAGCATGGTTCAGAGGGAGGCCTTGGTGTCTGGAGGATAGAGGAGACTTATGGACCTTTAGTGAATAGGACCCGCTGTCTATCAGTCTCATTACATTTGGTCTTTCTTATCTTCTCATCAGCACCTGACCTCCCTGGACCTGCACTCCTGTAACCGTGTTCCCGCCGTCTCGCTGGCCACACTCATTGAAGGCTTGCCCCGTCTCACCAAGCTCTGTCTGGTGGACACTCAGTCTGACTCGCTGGTTTTGACGGCCATTGGACGGAGCTGCCCACGACTCTGTGAATTGGATATATCCCGATGTAAGAAGGTTTCATCGTCTTCGTTGTTGTCACTGGTCTACGACAGTAAAAGTGCCACCTTCTGCTGCCAGGCACTGAGGGTTCTGCTTCTGCAAGATGTGAAACCGAAGGGCAGCCTGGATCAGTGGGCACAAGTGCTGTGCTTTGTTCTGCTGGCATTGCCCGGCCTCGAGGAACTCCCCAACCCTTCCCTACCAGCTGCCCTCAGTCTTCTATACCATGGGAGTTTTACCCAACTTGGCCCATGCTTCGATGGGTTCCCTCCATTGGCAGAGGTCGCCCGGTCTAGGACAGTAAGGGAAAGTGATATTAAGGGAGTGGCAAACATGAGGAACCATCAGTCGAATTCTCATGCATCTGCACCAAAGGTAACCCACCAAAAAAGTTCTGAGATGTTGGGGATGACAGAGAGACTGACCCTTCGCCTGAAGAAGCTGGAGGACCTGGAGGAGGATGACATGTCGGTACTTGGGTCTCTATGCCCGTTGGTGGAAGAGGTTGCCATCTCTCTAGGCAGCCAACCATTGGGTACCTGGAGTTTAGTGCAATGGCCTCACCTCACCCAGCTGGTCCTGCACTGCACACAGAAGCCGGAGAGGACCTTGGAGGAATTCCTGGCCACACTGCAGGTCATAGGGAACAGTCTACGGGTTCTATCCGTGCAGAACCTACTGTGGTGTCAGGATGAGTCTCTGCCCACTCTGCTGGCCATGTGCCCAAATCTCCAGAGCTTCAAAAGTCACTTCACAGTGCTTCGCCAGAACCTTCCACCCAATGAGCCGGAGCTTCCGCCCTGGCGTGGGGCCCCCCTGCCCCTCCCCCGCCTACACACCTTTAGTTTGCTAATAGAAGGGGAAGGCTCACCTCAGGCCGTCTTCCAGCATAAACTGGGGGGCTTCTTGGTGTCCATCCTGAAGGGGAGCCCCCAGCTGGAATCGCTGTCCCTCTGTGGGGTCCAGTCCCCTCTGGATAGTGTGTTTGAAGTCGTGTACGGTTCAAGTCCCCCCCCAAACCCTTGCAGAGACTAAGCGCGGTGTCCCTGTGTGGCAGTAATGTCACCCAGTGGGGGGCGTCTCTCATCATTCGCTCCGGGAGTGACCTGAGGACTCTGGACTTGTCTCACTGCAAGGAGGTGACTTGCCGGGACCACCAGCAGCTCCAGGAACGGGCACGCAAGGAGAGACTCAACCTCACCATTAGCTGGCTGTGACTTCCTTCTCCCGAAACCTCCACCTCCTTCTTTACTGCACCACCAAAGACTGTATCCACCCAGAACTGAGCCTGTGTCCCCGCTGGGGAGACTTCTCTTCACTCCTTGTCCTGGTGACACAACAGGAAGAAACCTTCCTCAATAGGGGACACAGACTTAAAAAAAAAAAAAAAAAAAACAACAACCCATGAGGGGACTCTAACCCCTATTTCTTCTACAGGTCGAATGTTATTCATTTGTAGAAATAGGGTGAAACGGAAAAATACTGCAATATGGCCACTAGATGGAGCTGAGGATCCTGGGAAAGATTATTGAGCCTCGGCTCCATCTAGTGGTCAGTGAAAGTAAACTTGCACTGAAGGAATATGGCGGCTGCTGCTGGATAATGCCAGTGGCCTGGCTGTGGTACATACCTCATGGTGACAGCCAGGCAAGGAGTATTTTCACACGTAGATCTGAAGACCGTCTTGTTATCTGATCAAAGGGGTGTATATCCATAGACATTTGTCTGCCGATACATTTGTATCAAATCTTCTTCTAGTTCCTATACAGGTCGAATGTTATTCATGCATTTAATGAATATATATATATTTACGGGTAAGTTTACGGCCACTAGATGGCACTGAGGGTCAATATATATTTACCAAGGACCTTCAGCTCCATCTAGTGGCCATAATACAGTATTTCTCTGATTCACATGAATGAATAACATTCGACCTGTAGAAGAAATAGAAGGAGAACCCATTTGTACAGGATTGGGGTGGAAGAGAAGGGAACGGCTCTGATCCGTCACACATAGCACTTAAAAGGGAGAGGCCCTCCCACCCAGGGCGGGGACAGTGTCCTGTAAGGTGCCCCTCCCCCATACCCTCCATGAGCCATCAACTACTTTAGAAGCACATGGGTTCTGCCCTTTTTGTGCACCCCTCCCCCCCCCCAATCCTGCTGACACGCCTAAGGCGGCTGCCTCCTCTGCCTACCCTTTGGACCTGCCCCGCCCCTACCTGATGGTATGACTGATAGGGAGGAGCAGTAAAGTACAGCCACTGTATAGGATCGCTGAGTTCATGTAATGATGAGACGGGCCCCCTGTACCCCCATACACAGGTGGAAGGTTCATACTGATGAGATCATACCCGGGGCCCGGCCCCGCCCCCACCTGATGGTATGACTGATAGCGAGGAGCAGTAAAGTACAGTCACTGTATGGTACCTCTGAGCTCATGTAATGATGAGACGGGCCCCCTGTACCCCCCATACACAGGTGGAAGGTTCATAGTGATGAGATCATACCCGGGGCCCGGCCCCACCCCTACCTGATGGTATGACTGATAGGGAGGAGCAGTAAAGTACAGTCACTGTATGGTACCTCTGAGTTCATGTAATGATGAGACGGGCCCCCTGTACCCCCCATACACAGGTGGAAGGTTCATAGTGATGAGATCATACCCGGGGCCCGGCCCCACCCCTACCTGATGGTATGACTGATAGGGAGGAGCAGTAAAGTACAGTCACTGTATAGGATCGCTGAGCACATGTAATGATGAGACGGGCCCCCTGTACCCCCATACACAGGTGGAAGGTTCATACTGATGAGATCATACCCGGGGCCCGGCCCCGCCCCCACCTGACGGTATGACTGATAGGGAGGAGCAGTAAAGTACAGTCACTGTATAGGATCGCTGAGCACATGTAATGATGAGACGGGCCCCCTGTACCCCCATACATAGGTGGAAGGTTCATACTGATGAGATCATACCCGGGGCCCGGCCCCGCCCCTACCTGATGGTATGACTGATAGCGAGGAGCAGTAAAGTACAGTCACTGTATGGTACCTCTGAGTTCATGTAATGAGACGGGCCCCCTGTACCCCCCATACACAGGTGGAAGGTTCATAGTGATGAGATCATACCCGGGGCCCGGCTCACTCATGTCTGTACAGAATAAAAGATTCTGATTTCTCTGATTGGAGCGTTTCTGTTGCCGGCGCGTATAGATGGAGACATTCCGCCATCGAGTGTAAAACTGGAGATAAAACTTAGATCTGTTCTAGAGGAGGTGGGGGAAAATGTTGGAACCAGTCAGTGGTGTGACAATTATTGTAAAATAAAAAATATATGAGCGCTGGGTGACAACAGGTCAAATACAGGTGGGAGCAGCCAGCATGGAGGAGGAAACAACCTCAGATCCTCCAAGTGATGCCAAAGATAAAAGTACAGATGCGGCGCTCAGTATTAGCTGCAGTGTGCAAATGATATCTCACAGTGTTAAAACTTCAATAGGTATAATACATGCGGATAAATGTGACTGTTGTGACACAGGAAGCAATGATGAACTTTCGTGACTGTTGTGACTGTGGTATTGAATAATATAAATAATACCAAAACTTATTGAATATAGTTCCTGCGGAATGAGATGACTGTAAAAACAGTAATATTCATAACTTCTATGGCTAGAAGCCACGGGCATACTATGCACCGATAGGATAGTATCCCATGATGTCATAGACTGATAAGATATAGTTCATGAAGATTTATGTGACTGCGGTGACACAAAACAGCGGATCATTTTGGGGACTGCTGTGGCTGGAAACAATGAGCAAACTACGCACTAACCAGATGGCACAGATAAATGTGCGTTGGAGTATATAAGACCTACTCCTAGGTACTCTGGGGGTGGGAACTCAGCATGCGGATGTGATCATCAGGTGGAGGTACTTCACCAGCTGTCATCTATGCAGAGCAGGATTCCACGTCTCAACCGTGTCCAGCAGTGCCTTTTATATCCATCAGGGGGATCATACACGCAGATGGAAACCAGGAAAAGGATCCTTCAAGATGAGGACTCTCGGTGCCAAATAAAAGAGCCCAGAGAGAAAAGAACTCCAATAGTGTAGTATGTTTTAATGATAGACTAACATCAAAGTACAGGTAAAAAACTGAGCCAGCACTTGCATCTGAGGTAGTAGGTAGGTGAAGTAGTTAGCAATCCATGAGAAAGGGTATCTCCCTAACGCGTTTCGTGTAATAACACATTTTCAAAGGGAGAGAACCCTGTCCCAAGTGTGTCCTTATATAGGCAGAGGCCTAATGAGTCAATTTGGTAATTTTGCGGCATCGCGGGCTTCCCGCGCATGCGCAGTAGCGCGTACCGCCCCGCGCATGCGCACTAGCTACAATATCAAGAGGACAAATAGCAGTCGCGCCTGCCCAATAAGACCTCCGGCGGCCATTTTGCTGTGGACTGGAGCAGCACAATAGTAAACAATGTACACAGGGCACAGTGGAGTGCTGTATAGTGTCCGCTGCTCTCTCGAGGCATGTGGCCGACTCTACATGCTTGCTGGGGTGGTGCGCTACTGCGCATGCGCGGGAAGCCCGCGATGCCGCAAAATTACCAAATTGACTCATTAGGCCTCTGCCTATATAAGGACACACTTGGGACAGGGTTCTCTCCCTTTGAAAATGTGTTATTACACGAAACGCGTTAGGGAGATACCCTTTCTCATGGATTGCTAACTACTACACCTACCTACTACCTCAGATGTAAGTGCTGGCTCAGTTTTTTACCTGTACTTTGATGTTAGTCTATCATTAAAACATACTACACTATTGGAGTTCTTTTCTCTCTGGGCTCTTTTATTTGGCACCGAGAGTCCTCATCTTGAAGGATCCTTTTCCTGGTTTCCATCTGCGTGTATGATCCCCCTGATGGATATAAAAGGCACTGCTGGACACGGTTGAGACGTGGAATCCTGCTCTGGATAGATGACAGCTGGTGAAGTACCTCCACCTGATGATCACATCCGCATGCTGAGTTCCCACCCCCAGAGTACCTAGGAGTAGGTCTTATATACTCCAACGCACATTTATCTGTGCCATCTGGTTAGTGCGTAGTTTGCTCATTGTCTCCAGCCACAGCAGTCCCCAAAATGATCCGCTGTTTTGTGTCACCGCAGTCACATAAATCTTCATGAACTATATCTTATCAGTCTATGACATCATGGGATACTATCCTATCGGTGCATAGTATGCCCGTGGCTTCTAGCCATAGAAGTTTTGAATATTACTGTTTTTACAGTCATCTCATTCCGCAGGAACTATATTCAATAAGTTTTGGTATTATTTATATTATTCAATACCACAGTCACAACAGTCACGAAAGTTCATCATCATTGCTTCCTGTGTCACAACAGTCACATTTATCCGCATGTATTATACCTATTGAAGTTTTAACACTGTGAGATATCATTTGCACACTGCAGCTAATACTGAGCGCCGCATCTGTACTTTTATCAGTGGTGTGACAATAGTCATGGGCCCCAGGGGTGGAAGGGGCCCCATTAACAAAAAGGGGGGGTGTTAAGGAAAATTAAACACAGATGATTGGGGGAAAAGTGTGGAAGAGCGCGGTGCCAGAGAAATCACAGTCTGAGAGAGCGCAGAGCCATAGAGGGTACGGTCTGAGAGAGCACAGAGCCATAGAGGGTACGGTCTGGGAGAGCGCGGAGCCATAGAGGGTACGGTCTGGGAGAGCGCGGAGCCATAGAGGGTACGGTCTGGGAGAGCGCGGAGCCATAGAGGGTACGGTCTGGGAGAGCGCGGAGCCATAGGGGGTACGGTCTGGGAGAGCGCGGAACCATAGGGGGTACGGTCTGGGAGAGCACGGAGCCATAGAGGGTACGGTCTGGGAGAGCGCGGAGCCATAGAGGGTACGGTCTGGGAGAGCGCGGAGCCATAGAGGGTACGTTCTGGGAGAGCGCGGAACAATAGGGGGTACGGTCTGGGAGAGCGCGGAGCCATAGAGGGTACGGTCTGGGAGAGCGCGGAGCCATAGAGGGTACGGTCTGGGAGAGTGCGGAGCCATAGAGGGTACGGTCTGGGAGAGCGCGGAGCCATAGAGGGTACGTTCTGGGAGAGCGCGGAACAATAGGGGGTACGGTCTGGGAGAGCGCGGAGCCATAGAGGGTACGGTCTGGGAGAGCGCGGAGCCATAGAGGGTACGGTCTGGGAGAGCGCGGAGCCATAGAGGGTACGGTCTGGGAGAGCGCGGAGCCATAGAGGGTACGGTCTGGGAGAGCGCGGAGCCATAGAGGGTACGGTCTGGGAGAGAGGGGCGCCAGAGGGGGCATGGTCTGGGGACGCGTAGTACACAGGTGGGAAGCACACAGACGGGTTATGCGGGAGCACACAGGCGGGGGGGTAGGGGGAGCACACAGACGGGGGGGAGGGTGAAGCACACAGTCAGGGAGCACTCTCACGGGGGGGGGGGGGTGTTGGGAAGCACACAGCACTCACGGGGGGGGGGGTGTTGGGAAGCACACAGCACTCATGGGGGGGGGGGGGGTGTTGGGAAGCACGCAGCACTCACGGGGGGGGGGGGGGGGTGTTGGGAAGCACACAGCACTCACGGGGGGGGGGGGGTGTTGGGAAGCACGCAGCACTCACGGGGGGGGGGGGGGGGTGTTGGGAAGCACGCAGCACTCACGGGGGGGGGGGGGGTGTTGGGAAGCACACAGCACTCACTGGGGGGGGGGGGGGGGGGGTGTTGGGAACCACACAGCACTCATGGGGGGGGGGGGGGTGTTGGGAAGCACACAGCACTCATGGGGGGGGGTGTTGGGAAGCACACAGCACTCACGGGGGGGGGGTGTTGGGAAGCACACAGCACTCACGGGGGGGTGTTGGGAAGCACGCAGCACTCACGGGGGGGGGGGGTGTTGGGAAGCACACAGCACTCATGGGGGAGGGTGTTGGGAAGCACACAGCACTCATGGGGGGGGGTGTTGGGAAGTACACAGCACTCACGGGGGGGGGGGGGGGGGGGGGGGGGTGTTGGGAAGCACACAGCACTCACGGGGGGGGGGGGGGGGGGTGTTGGGAAGCACACAGCACTTCTCTGGATGTGGAAAGGGTTTTATGTTACGTGTTATTATTACGTGTTGATTATTATAGAATGCTTTTCAGGTCATACAACACACTGAGGCTGCGGCGTCCTGCTGTTTTGTGTACACTGTGAATATGCCGGGTGCTGGGGAGTGCACAGTGCCAGAGGGTACAGTGGCGTTAAAGAGGGAGCACAGTCCAGGGCAGTGCAGTGTCAGGGGAGCGCAGTGTCGGGGAGCGCAGTCCAGGGGAGCGCAGTGTCAGGGGGAGCGCAGTGTCAGGGGAGCGCAGTGTCAGAGGGAGCACAGTCCAGGGCAGTGCAGTGTCAGGGGGAGCGCAGTCCGGGGGAGCGCAGTCCAGGGGAGCGCAGTCCAGGGGAGCGCAGTGTCAGGGGGAGCGCAGTGTCAGGGGGAGCGCAGTGTCAGAGGGAGCGCAGTCCAGGGGAGCGCAGTGTCAGAGGGAGCGCAGTCCAGGGGAGCGCAGTGTCAGAGGGAGCGCAGTCCAGGGGAGCGCAGTGTCAGAGGGAGCACAGTCCAGGGGAGCGCAGTGTCAGAGGGAGCGCAGTCCAGGGGAGTGCAGCGTCAGAGGGAGCGCAGTCCAGGGGAGCTCAGTGTCAGAGGGAGCGCAGTCCAGGGGAGTGCAGTGTCAGAGGGAGCACAGCGTCAGAGGGAGCACAGTCCAGGGGAGCGCAGCGTCAGAGGGAGCGCAGTCCAGGGGAGCTCGGTGTCAGAGGGAGCACAGTCCAGGGGAGCACAGTCTGAGAGAACACTCTCCAGGGGGGAGCGCAGTGTCAGAGGGAGCGCAGTGTCTGGGGGAGCTCAGTGTCCGGGGGAGCACAGTCCAGGGGAGCCCAGTGTCCGGGGGAGCACAGTGTCAGAGGGAGCTCAGTCCAGGGGGAGCGCAGTGTCCGGGGGAGCACAGTCCAGGGGAGCCCAGTGTCCGGGGGAGCACAGTGTCAGAGGGAGCTCAGTCCAGGGGAGCGCAGTGTCCGGGGAAGCACAGTGTCAGAGGGAGCTCAGTCCAGGGGAGCGCAGTGTCCGGGGGAGCACAGTCCAGGGGAGCACAGTGTCCGGGGGAGCACAGTCCAGGGGAGCGCAGTGTCCGGGGGAGCACAGTCCAGGGGGAGCGCAGTGTCCGGGGGAGCACAGTGTCAGAGGGAGCTCAGTCCGGGGGAGCACAGTCCAGGGGAGCACAGTGTCAGAGGGAGCTCAGTCCGGGGGAGCACAGTCCAGGGGAGCACAGTGTCCGGGGGAGCACAGTCCAGGGGAGCGCAGTGTTCGGGGGAGCACAGTCCAGGGGAGCGCAGTGTCCGGGGGAGCACAGTGTCCGGGGGAGCACAGTCCAGGGGAGCGCAGTGTCCGGGGGAGCACAGTCCAGGGGGGAGCGCAGTGTCCGGGGGAGCACAGTCCAGGGGGAGCGCAGTGTCCGGGGGAGCACAGTGTCCGGGGGAGCACAGTGTCAGAGGGAGCACAGTGTCAGAGGGAGCTCAGTCCGGGGGAGTGCAGTCCAGGGGAGTTTCTTTGCCACCTTCTCCCCCGGCTGCATTATGTGGGAGGGGCTCCAGGTCCGGCTCCTATCAGTGTACTCTATGTTCTGTTCTTGCCCCACCCAGAGGTATTATGGCGATGGTGGGCGGGGCGTCCAGCCGTCACCTGACACCTCTGCGTTTTATCGTTCATGAAGGTCACACACACAGTCAGACGAGCTGAATTCAGTCATTTATTACAGATTTCATTTCACACAGGAGATCAGCCACGATCGATCGATCTACAAATCGTCACCCAAACATGATGGACACCCCAACCTGCGTGCCAAAAATCCCCCCAAAAACTCCATCCACAGCAATGAGCCGAGTCCTCTGCTTTTCTAACCTAGCGGTGTCCTCAGAAGAGCCGAGCTCTGGGGTGGGATTGTTTGGGGGGGTCGATGTGTGACCGACATTCCTACCGATCCACCTAAACCCGCCGTATTCAGCCTCATATCTCTCGGTGCTTGTAAGCGCCATCTACTGGCCATGATGTATCCACACATTACAGGCACTAGATGGCGCCGGTGATCATGGGAGATATTTCCATGGCACTGAATACGGCACGTTTTGTTGGAGTGGTGCGGATGTTGGTCACATGGTCATGCAATGGTTGAAGCACAGGGTGTGGTAAGAGGAGTCCTCATGTAAGGTGTATGGGGGTCCTGGTGAATGGGGGTGGTGTGTGGGGGGGACCTCGGGGGCACAGTGACCTTCAGCTTTGGTCTCCTCCACTGTCGCCATCATTGTCCTGGTTAATGGTTGAGTGAGGTGGGAAAGGTCCTCATCCAACAAGGAGGACATTGGGGTGTTGATGGTGAATGGGGGGGTATATGCAGACTTTGGGGGCACAGTGACCTTCAGCTTTAGTCCTGAGTTATGACTTCTCCAGATACGATATTGCTAGTGTCAGTTTCCTCCGGTGTCACCATCATCGTCCAGGGTCACCAATCAAATATTATTGATGATGTAATGGTGGAGTGAGGTGGGAAAGGTCCTCGTGTAACAAGAAAGGAGGACATTGGGGTCTTCCTGATAAATGGGGGGGGGGGGTGTGTATGCAGACCTCAGTCACAGTAAGTAACCCTCAGCTTTGGTCTCCTCCGGTGTCGCCATCATTGTCCTGGTGCACCAATGGGATATTATTGATGATCTAAACCGTTGAGTGAGGTGGGAAAGGTCCCCGTGTAACAAGGAGGATATTGGGGTCCTCCTGGTGAACGGGGGGTGTATGCAGACCTCGGGGTCACAGTGACCCTCAGTTTTAGCCCTGAGTCCTGACTTCTACAGATACGATAATGGTGTTGGTCTCCTCCGGTGTCGCCATCATTGTCCAGGTTCACCAAATGGATATTGTTGATGATGGAATGGTGGAGTGAGGTGAGACAAGGAGGACATTGGGGTCTTCCTGGTGAATGAGGGGGGGGGGGGGGTATGCAGACCTAGCCATGACTTCTCCAGATACAATATTGCTAGTGCCGATCTCCTCCGGTGTCACCATCATTGTCCAGGATCACCAATCAAATTGGTTGCAGCCTCAGACGCCTCCCATAGCTTCTTATTGACAGCGGGATCCAGAGCCTTCTCCGAGGGAAGCTCAATCATACAGTTGCTGTCCACATACTTCCCAGTCAGACCCTCCGCCTCCTCCGACACCGCACAGAAGATGGTGCTGGCCGCCCCCTCCTCCGCCGTCTGGAATGGGGGGGGGGAAAGGAGAGTGAGTGGGGACATTATAGATTGGGGGGGGGAAGGATGAGGAATGGAGGGGAGGAGATGGGATGGAGAATGAAGAGCGGTTAGATGTGATGGGACAGGGAAGGGAGCCGGGGGGGGGGGGGGGGATACAGGACGGGGAAGGAGCGGGGGGGGGGGGATACGGGACGGGGAAGGGAGCGGGGGGGGGGATACGGGACGGGGGGGGATACGGGACGGGGAACGGGGGGGGGGGGGGGGGGGAGGATACGGGACGGGAACGGAATGGGGAGGGGATACGGGACGGGAACGGAGCGGGGGGGGGGATACGGGACGGGAACGGAGCGGGGGGGGGGATACGGGACGGGAACGGAGCGGGGGGGAATACGGGACGGGGAACGGAGCGGGGGGGATACAGGACGGGAACGGAGCGGGGGGGAATACAGGACGGGAACGGAGCGGGGGGGAATACAGGACGGGAACGGAGTGGGGGGGGGGGGATACAAGACGGGGAACGGAGCGGGGGGGGGGATACGGGACGGGGAACGGAGCGGGGGGGGGGGGAATACGGGACGGGAACGGAGCGGGGGGGGAATACAGGACGGGAACGGAGCGGGGGGGAATACAGGACGGGAACGGAGTGGGGGGGGGGATACAAGACGGGGAACGGAGCGGGGGGGGGGGGGGATACAAGACGGGGAACGGAGCGGGGGGGGGATACGGGACGGGAACGGAGCGGGGGGGGGGGATACGGGACGGGAACGGAGCGGGGGGGGGATACGGGACGGGAACGGAGCGGGGGGGAATACGGGACGGGAACGGAGCGGGGGGGAATACGGGACGGGGGAACGGAGCGGGGGGGGGGGGGGATACAAGACGGGGAACGGAGCGGGGGGGGGCGGATACAAGACGGGGAACGGAGCGGGGGGGGGGGATACAGGACGGGAACGGAGCGGGGGGGGGATACAGGACGGGAACGGAGCGGGGGGGGGGATACAGGACGGGGAAGGGAGCGGGGGGGGATACAAGACGGGGAAGGGAGCAGGGGGGGGGATACAAGACGGGGAAGGGAGCGGGGGGGATACGGGACGGGAAACGGGGGGGGGGAGGGGATACGGGACGGGAAACGGGGGGGGGAGGGGATACGGGACGGGAAACGGGGGGGGGGAGGGGATACGGGACGGGAAACGGGGGGGGGAGGGGATACGGGACGGGAACGGAGGGGGGAGGGGATACAGGACGGGAACGGAGGGGGGAGGGGATACAGGACGGGAACGGAGGGGGGAGGGGATACAGGACGGGAACGGAGGGGGGGAGGGGATACAGGACGGGAACGGAGGGGGGAGGGGATACAGGACGGGAACGGAGGGGGAGGGGATACACGACGGGAACGGAGGGGGGAGGGGATACACGACGGGAACGGAGTGGGGGGGATACAGGACGGGAACGGAGGGGGGAGGGGATACAGGACGGGAACGGAGGGGGGAGGGGATACACGACGGGAACGGAGGGGGGAGGGGATACACGACGGGAACGGAGGGGAGGGGGATACAGGACGGGAACGGAGGGGGGAGGGGATACAGGACGGGAGGGGAGGGGGATACAGGACGGGAACGGAGGGGGGAGGGGATACAGGACGGGAACGGAGGGGAGGGGGATACAGGACGGGAACGGAGGGGAGGGGGATACAGGACGGGAACGGAGGGGGGGGGGGATACAGGAAGGGAACGGAGGGGGGAGGGGATACAGGAAGGGAACGGAGGGGGAGGGGATACAGGAAGGGAACGGAGGGGGGAGGGGATACAGGACGGGAACGGAGGGGAGGGGGATACAGGACGGGAACGGAGGGGGGAGGGGATACAGGACGGGAACGGAGGGGAGGGGGATACAGGACGGGAACGGAGGGGAGGGGGATACAGGACGGGAACGGAGGGGGGGGGGGGATACAGGAAGGGAACGGAGGGGGGAGGGGATACAGGAAGGGAACGGAGGGGGGAGGGGATACAGGAAGGGAACGGAGGGGGGAGGGGATACAGGACGGGAACGGAGGGGGGAGGGGATACAGGACGGGGAACGGAGGGGAGGGGGATACAGGACGGGAACGGAGGGGAGGGGGATACAGGACGGGAACGGAGGGGGGGGGGGATACAGGACGGGAACGGAGGGGGGGGGGATACAGGACGGGAACGGAGGGGGGGGGGGATACAGGACCAACCTTGAAGAAGAAGAATCCGAGGACGTTGAAGACGAGTCGGAGGATCAGCTTGTAGTGCCGCATGGCTTCTGTCATCGCGATCCCGGGACTGACGCTGCTCACCGACACCCCTGCAATCACATCGACATTTTGTATCAGAATTCAGAGTCCAGTTTCCTGTTTATATCTGAGGTCGGCTCAGCCGTAATCTTCGCCTCACGTCCAGCAGACCCGAGAGAAGACACGGCACAGCTAAGCTCACCCCTTCATGTGTGTCGTCTGTCGGAGGGGATCCCCACTGACAGCCAAATGTGAAAAGAATTTCCAGCAATTAAAGAGAAAAAAAAAAAAAATATGACGTGGGGTCCCTCCCCCCCATCCATGCCAAGCCCTTCGGGTCTGGAATGGGTTTTAAGGGGAACCTCCACGCCGAAATTAAAAAAAAAATGGTGTAGGGGTCCCCCTGAAATCCATACCAGACCCTTATCTGAGCATGCAGGAAAAGGGGGTGGGGGGCTCCCCCTGTACGTCTCTGCAGCAGCTGAAAGCCGGATTCTCCTCCTCTCCCTCACACGGGCTTTCAGCTGCTACAGAGAGAGCCATACAGGGGATCGGTCCCAATAATTGCCCCCCCCCCCCCCCACCATGCCAATCACCCTCCCTGTGCACCATACCCCCCCCCCCCCCCCCCACAGTGCTGCTGACATCTCTCCTTCCCAACGCCAGCTTTAAGCACTCTCAGGATGGAGAGAGAGTGGGGGAGGAGTCCAGTACATAGGTCACATTTACCAGACCTTTCCTGAATGAACACAATCAGTGATTGGCACCGATCACTCACTGTGTTCACTCATAGCAGAAGAATCGTAAACTGTGGTGTTTTGGGGGGGGGGGGGGGGGCTGTCAGGTTGGCTGTATGGGGCCCCCATGGTTTCTAGCATCAGCCCAGCCTCCAAAAGAGAAGTTTGGCCAAAAAAGCTTGCCCCCCTCCCAGTGTGTGTGCCCCCCCAACTAATATTGGGGCCCCATGCAGCAGGTGATCAACATGATTCATTGTCAGTGACCCAGGGAGGGGTTCAGCAAGTCTAGGAGGGGTTCAGTGACTCTAGGAGGGGTTCAGTGACTCTAGGAGGGGTTCAGCAAGTCTAGGAGGGGTTCAGTGACTCTAGGAGGGGTTCAGCAAGTCTAGGGGGGGGTTCAGTGACTCTAGGAGGGGTTCAGTGACTCTAGGAGGGGTTCAGCAAGTCTAGGAGGGGTTCAGCAAGTCTAGGAGGGGTTCAGTGACTCTAGGAGGGGTTCAGGGACCTTGGGAGGGGTTTCTTTGTTTGGAATAGAGAAGGAACTTCCAGAAATGTATCCACCTTCCCGGCCCCAATGGGGTGGGGTGAGTTGGGGTGGGTGTCACTCACCAGTGGTCCTTAGCCTTTCTGCCCCCATGGGGTGGGGTGGGTGTCACACACCGGTGGTCTTCAGCCTCTCGGCCCCCATGGGATGGGGTGGTCTGGGTGTCACTTACTGGTGATCTTCAGCCTCTTGGCCCCCATGGGGTGGGGTGGGATGGGGCGGGTGTCACTCACCGGTGGTCTTCAGCCTCTTGGCCCCCATGGGGTGGGGTGGGGATGGGGCGGGTGTCACTCACCGGTGGTCTTCAGCCTCTTGGCCCCCATGGGGTGGGTGGGTGGGATGGGGCGGGTGTCACTCACCGGTGGTCTTCAGCCTCTCGGCCCCCATGGGGTGGGATGGAATGGGTGTCACTCACCGGTGGTCTTCAGCCTCTCGGCCCCCATGGAGTGGGATGGGGCGGGATGGAGGTCACTCACCGGTGGTCTTCAGCCTCTCGGCCCCCATGGGGTGGGGGGTGGGATGGGGCGGGATGGGTGTCACTCACCGGTGGTCTTCAGCCTCTCGGCCCCCATGGGGGGGTGGGGTGGGATGGGGCGGGGTGGGGTGGGTGTCACTCACCGGTGGTCTTCAGCCTCTCGGCCCCCATGGAGTGGGATGGGGCGGGGTGGGATGGAGGTCACTCACCGGTGGTCTTCAGCCTCTCGGCCCTCATGGGGTGGGGTGGGATGGGGCGGGGGGTGGGATGGGATGGAGGTCACTCACCGGTGGTCTTCAGCCTCTCGGCCCCCATGGAGTGGGATGGGGCGGGGTGGGGTGGGTGGGGATGGAGGTCACTCACCGGTGGTCTTCAGCCTCTCGGCCCCCATGGAGTGGGATGGGGTGGGGTGGGATGGAGGTCACTCACTGGTGGTCTTCAGCCTCTCGGCCCCCATGGAGTGGGATGGGGCGGGGGTGGGGTGGGATGGAGGTCACTCACCGGTGGTCTTCAGCCTCTCGGCCCCCATGGGGTGGGCGGGGTGGGATGGGTGTCACTCACCGGTGGTCTTCAGCCTCTCGGCCCCCATGGGAGTGGGATGGGGCGGGGGGGTGGGGTGGGATGGAGGTCACTCACCGGTGGTCTTCAGCCTCTCGGCCCCCATGGAGTGGGATGGGGCGGGGTGGTGGGGTGGGATGGAGGTCACTCACCGGTGGTCTTCAGCCTCTCGGCCCCCATGGAGTGGGATGGGGCGGGGTGGGGTGGGGTGGGATGGAGGTCACTCACCGGTGGTCTTCAGCCTCTCGGCCCCCATGGAGTGGGATGGGGCGGGGTGGGGTGGGATGGAGGTCACTCACCGGTGGTCTTCAGCCTCTCGGCCCCCATGGAGTGGGGTGGGGTGGGGTGGGATGGAGGTCACTCACCGGTGGTCTTCAGCCTCTCGGCCATCTCTCGGGCACACATGATGTTCATGAGTTTGGTGCAGTTGTAGGTTTGGTCCAGTTTTTGGTCCTCCAGGTTCCTCCCGTAGAAGTGGGCGGGGTCTGCGAAGCCGCGCCTGTGCATGAAGGAGCTCAGGAAGACGATGCGACTCGGAGCCGAACGTTTCATGAGCTCTGCAGGGAAGGAAGAAGATGGACAATTACGCCCTGAACCCCCATCACCGCCACCGGCCCCGGGGCCCCGATTCATCAACAGGCACTTAAAGGGTCACTCCACGTGTGGGAAAAAGTATCACAAATATAATAATAGACGACACACAATCGTTACATCGAACGTTTCCTCCATTCTCTGCGCAATGCAATATGGCCGCCTGGAGGCGCTCTGTACACATTCAGTATACAGAACTATGCCCATCCCCCCCTCCGAAATGTCCTGCTTCTGTGATTGGCTCACTGTTCTGCCCCCCCTAACAAAAGACCTACCTGACTCCTCCCTCCAACACTGGCATCAACGGGAGCCAAAGGTTTCTGTCAAACACCAATGAGGAGGGAGTGGGGGCGGGGCTTACTGGAGCTGTGTGTGTCTATAGATGCACACAGCCCGGATAGGGAGTGAGCCAGCGAGGGTGGAGGAGAGGTGGAGCGGAGAACGTCAGTCGGGGCCCCAGAAGACAGGCGGCCCCACTGTGCAATGTCCCGGTACAGGGCAGGTACTGGCCCCCCAAATACCCAACAAAGTCGTGCTTAAAGGGTATGTACACCCCAACATGGTTCTGGGTGGCTTTGCTTCCTTGCAGGAACCCCCCCCCCAGTGTAGCCCCGCCTCCTACATCCTCCCTGGCCACACCTGACCTGGTGACACACACAGGTAGACCCAAATCCTGGCATCTCCAGCCACTCCCTGCTCCGCCCCCCGAGGCTCCCTGCTCCACCCCCGAGGGCTTTAAGTGCCTGCCATGTGACCAGGTCATGTGATCATTCAGTGATGTCAGCAATGCCGGAAATGGTGGGGAAGTGAGGCCTGTCCTGATACAGAAAGGTCTGCTGCAGGCAGGAGGAAGCATTTCCTCAGTCCCCCTCTCTCCCAGTGACTTTGCCTAGGCTGAGATGATGTCACCCATCTGCTGCAGGCAGGGGTAAGCATTTCCTCAGTCTCCCCTCCCCCTAGGCGGAGGCATTTGGATGGCGGTACGGAGGAGGACTGGCAGGACTTACCCAGGAGTCGGTTGGTGAGCAGGAAAGGGCCCAGGTGGTTGGTGGCGTAGCTGAGCTCCAGTCCCTCGGATGTGACGGCGCTCGGCAATCCTGGAAGGAGAAATCGATCTGCTAATGAGACCTTTCTAAGCCGACTTCCCACCAATCCGACCACAGACTCACCAGCGCCCCCTACATATCCCCCAACATAGGGGGCAGTCTATGGAGACATACACAGGGGGCGCCAGTGAGCTGCTGCAATCTCAGGCTACATGCACCCCGTTCATTCTGACTTGATCCCTCCTCAAAAAAAAAAAGACCTTCAGCCTGATTGGCTGGCGGTGCTTCCAATGACAGGAGGCCTGATCATGTGATCTTTGGAAAGAACCTCCCACTTGGCTCTCATTGACTTGTATGGCTCCTCTCTGTGGGACCTGCAGAAAGTCCACCATTATCAGAGCGTAGCCCTACAGTGACCCCTCCCCCCCAACCACTCGCCCCGGGGGTCACCGGTACCTGAGGCTCCGGCGTGACCCCTCCCCCCCAACCACTTGCCCCTGGGGTCACCGGTACCTGAGGCTGCGGCGTGACCCCCCCCAACCACTCGCCCCCCACCGGTACCCACCCCTCCCCCCAGCCACTTGCCCCGGGGTCACCGGTACCTGAGGCTCCGGCGTGACCCCTCCCCCCAACCACTCGCCCCGGGGTCACCGGTACCTGAGGCTCCGGCGTGACCCCTCCCCCCCAACCACTTCGCCCCGGGGTCACCATTACCTGAGGCTCCGGCGTGACCCCTCCCCCCCATGCCACTTGCCCGGGGTCACCATTACCTGAGGCTCTGGCATGACCCCTCCCCTCAGCCACTTGCCCCGGGGTCACCATTACCTGAGGCTCCGGCGTGACCCCTCCCCCCAACCACTCACTCCGGGGTCACCGGTACCTGAGGCTCTGGCGTGACCCCTCCCCCCCAACTACTCACCCCGGGGTCACCGGTACCTGAGGCTCCGGCGTGACCCCTCCCACCAAACTATCACCTCACCTCGGTACCTCACTGAGGCACCGGTCGGCTGGCGTGACCCCTCCCCCCAACTAACGGGGTCACCGGTCACTCCGGGGGTCACCCTGGTACCTGAGGCTTCGGCGTGTACCCCTCCCCCCAAAACTACTCACCCCGGGGTCACCTGAGGCGTGACCGTCTCTCCCACCCCCAACCACTCACCCCAGGGTCACCGTTACCTGAGGCTCCGGCGTTATTCACCAGGATGTCCAGCCTCTTCTCGTTGCGCAGTATGCGGTCAGTGAAGGCCCGGACGGAGGACATGCTGCTGGTGTCCAGGATCTCCAGGACCACATTCCGGTTCCCCGTCTTCCTCTGGATCTCCTCCAGAGCCTTCTGACCGCGTTCCCGACTGCGACACGCCAAGATGACCCGACCGTTCCTCCGGGCAAAGTCCAACGCCACGGACTTCCCAATGCCTGCAGACCAATAGACCAATAGAGCGTTAGTGCTGGGAGTGGGCGGGGCAAGAGGGGAGTCTTCATATACCAACTCTGTACTGTATACTGGACACTGGGGGGGAGGGGTGCCACCATCACACACATGGTCCAATGGTGTCACCAGGAACCCCGCCTGAGAAACGCCATGCCTCCATCACACACACCTGGTCCAATGGTGTCACCAAGAACCCCGCCTGAGAAACGCCATGCTTCCATCACACACACATGGTCCAATGGTGTCACCAAGAACCCAGCCTGAGAAACGCCATGCCTCCATCACACACACACGGTCCAATGGTGTCACCAGGAAACCCCGCCTGAGAAACGCCATGACTCCATCACACACACATGGTCCAATGGTGTCACCAAGAACCCCGCCTGAGAAACGCCATGCCTCCATCACACACACATGGTCCAATGGTGTCACCAAGAACCCCGCCTGAGAAACGCCATGCCTCCATCACACACACATGGTCCAATGGTGTCACCAAGAACCCCAGCCTGAGAAACGCCATGCCTCCATCACACACACATGGGTCACCAAGAATTGGTGTCACCAAGAAACCCCCCCCTGAGAAACGCCATGCCTCCATCACACACACACATGGTCCAATGCTGGACGCACACAAGTTAATAATTGTAAAACGAATATTGTGATTGTTTGCTGACTGGAACCGCGACTACACGAAGGACACTGTACGGCAAGGTTGTCGAGCGGGGGAAGGGGAGGATCAAGTGACCAGGAAAGAGGAAGACACAATACACCAATCGCAACAGCCGGATTTAGATTTATTTATAAAATATTAAAAAAGAAAAAAGGAGCGTTCGTTGTGTGTGATTGGAGGCAAAACGAACGTTATCAGGATACGTCCTCTCTAGGAGAATGTTTTCTCATTCATATAGAAAACAGCGATACCTCATTCCGGCCACTAGATGGGGCTGATAATCATAGTAAAGAAGTATCTGTCCCTTGACCTCTACACTTTGATAGCCATTTAACCCTGAATCCCTGCATTACATACTCCTGACCCCGATCCTACATCCCCCCCCGCACATTACATACTCCTGACCCCCGAGCCCCGCACATTACATACTCCTGACCCCCGCACATTACATACTCCTGACCCCCGCGCATTACATACTCCTGACCCCCGCGCCCCGTGCATTACATACTCCTGACCCCCCGCGCATTACATACTCCTGAACCCCCTGCATTACATACTCCTGACCCCCGAGCCCCGCACATTACATACTCCTGACCCCCGAGCCCCGCACATTACATACTCCTGACCCCCGCGCATTACATACTCCTGACCCCCGCGCATTACATACTGACCTGACCCCCGCGCATTACATACTCCTGACCCCCGCGCCCCGTGCATTACATACTCCTGACCCCCGCGCATTACATACTCCTGAACCCCCTGCATTACATACTCCTGACCCCGAGCCCCGCGCATTACATACTCCTGACCCCCGCGCATTACATACTCCTGACCCCCAGCGCCCCGCGCATTACATACTCCTGACCCCAGCGCCCTGCGTATTACATACTCCTGACCCCCGCGCCCCGCGCATTACATACTCCTGACCCCCCGCCCCCCGCGCATTACATACTCCTGAACCCCCCGTGCATTACGTACTCCTGACCCCCACGCCCCGTGCATTACATACTCCTGACCCCCGCACATTACATAATCCTGACCCCGCACATTACCTCCTGACCCCCGCACCCCGTGCATTACATACTCCTGACCCTCGTGCATTACATACTCCTGACCCCCGCGCCCCGTGCATTACATACTGACCTGACCCCTGCACCGCACCCCGTGCATTACATACTCCTGACCCCCGCACCCGTGCATTACATACTCCTGACACCCCGCACATTACATACTCCTGACCCCGTAGCCCCGAGCATTACATACTCCTGACCCCCGCAACCCGTGCATTACATACTCCTGACCCCCCCCCATGCATTACATACTCCTGACCCCCGCCATTACACTCCTGACCCCCGCCCCCGTGCATTACATACTCCTGACCCCTGCAACCCGTGCATTACATACTCCTGACCCCCGCACTCCATTACATGCATTACATACTCCTGACCCCCGCACATGACATACTCCTGACCCCCGCACCCCGTGCATTACATACACCTGACCCCCGCACCCCGTGCATTACATACTCCTGACCCCCGCGCCCCGTGCATTACATACTCCTGACCCCCCGCGCCCCGTGCATTACATACTCCTGACCCCTGTGCATTACATACTCCTGACCCCCCGCGCCCCGTGCATTACATACTCCTGACCCCCGCACCCCGTGCATTACATACTCCTGACCCCTGCACCCCGTGCATTAACATCCTGACCCCCCACACCCCGTGCATTAATACTCCTGACCCCCGACACCCCGTGCATTACATACTCCTGACCCCCGCACATGACATATTACATCCTGACCCCCGCACCCCGTGCATTACATACGCCTGACCCCCGCACCCCGTGCATTACATACGCCTGACCCCCGCACCCCGTGCATTACATACTCCTGACCCTAGCGCCCCGTGCATTACATACTCCTGACCCCCCGTGCATTACATACTCCTGACCCCCGCGCCCCGTACATTACATACTCCTGACCCCCACGCCCCGTGCATTACATACTCCTGACCCCCACGCCCCGTGCATTACATACTCCTGACCCCCGTGCCCCGTGCATTACATACTCCTGACCCCCCCCGCACATTACATACTCCTGACCCCCGTACCCCGAGCATTACATACTCCTGACCCCCGCACCCCGTGCATTACATACTCCTGACCCCCGCACCCCGTGCATTACATACTCCTGACACCTGCACCCCGTGCATTACATACTCCTGACACCTGCACCCCGTGCCTTACATACTACTGAAGCCTGCATTCTATGCAATACCTACTCCTGACCCCTGCACCCTGTGCCTTATATACTATGGAACCCTGCATTCTGCGCGTTACTCCTGACCCCTGCACTCTGTGCCTTACATATTACTGAACCCTGCATTCTGTGCGTTACTCCTGACACCCCTGCACCCTGAGCCTTACATGCTACGGAACACTGCTTTCGGTGCGTTACTCCTGGCCCCTGCACCCTGAGCCTTACATGCTACGGAACACTGCTTTCTGTGCATTTACTCCTGACCCCCTGCACCCTGAGCCTCACATGCTACGGAACACTGCTTTCTGTGCGTTACTCCTGACCCCTGCACCCTGAGCCTCACATGCTACGGAACACTGCTTTCTGTGCGTTACTCCTGACCCCTGCACCCTGTGCCTCACATGCTACGGAACACTGCTTTCTGTGCGTTACTCCTGACCCCTGCACCCTGAGCCTACACTGCAATGCTACGGAACACTGCTTTCTGTGCGTTACTCCTGACCCCTGCACCCTGAGCCTCACATGCTACGGAACCCTGCTTTCTGTGCGTTACTCCTGACCCCTGCACCCTGAGCCTCACACGCTACGGAACACTGCTTTCTGTGCGTTACTCCTGACCCCTGCACCCTGAGCCTTACATGCTACGGAACACTGCTTTCTGTGCGTTACTCCTGACCCCTGCACCCTGAGCCTTACACGCTACGGAACACTGCTTTCTGTGCGTTACTCCTGACCCCTGCACCCTGAGCCTTACATGCTACGGAACACTGCTTTCTGTGCGTTACTCCTGACCCCTGCACCCTGAGCCTTACACGCTACGGAACACTGCTTTCTGTGCGTTACTCCTGACCCCTGCACCCTGAGACTTACATGCTACGGAACACTGCTTTCTGTGCGTTTACTCCTGACCCCTGCACCCTGAGCCTTACATACCTCTCTGCACAGTGTCTATATATACACCCCATTATGTCCTCCATGGGAATTGTATTCAGAATGGATACATTGTACTCAGCATGGGCACTGTATGTGCACGTTATATCCAGCAGGGGGCGCTGTGACAGACCTGAGGGGGATGGTGGGTGGGGCCAATTTGCAATAACAGTGGGAGGGGCTTAAAGGGGTGAACCAGCCCCTCCTCACCTGCGCACAGCACACATCTCATAGTCCTTGTCTCCCCGAAGTCTCCCTCGGTGATTGGTGCCCCCCCCCAACCATCTCCCCCCATAATACACCTGACACAGGCGCTGGGCAGCTGAGTGCAGGGTCCAGGACTACTAAACCCAATAAAAAGGGGGGGGAGGTACTTACCTGCAGATGAAGGAGGGGGGGTTACTTACCTGCAGCAGATGAAGGAGGGGGGGTGGAACATGATAAACCCGAAAGTGTTTTTTGACTCCATATTTCTGAAGGTCAATTTTGGGTGCTTGGACTCCAGTGGTGGCCCCCTGTGGGTAGCAGTGTTAGGGCCTGGATATTGCCCCGTGCAGAGTCCTGGATGCAAGGTGGTTCTCTCAAGAGGAAGAGAAGTACTCAGGGTCACCTCCCACCATTTCTGGACTCAGCTCTGAGGTCCCTGAGGAGGTGGGGCATAGAGAAGTCCTACTAGAAAGTAGCCCAAGAAAATGGTTATATCACAGGATCTGTAGGACCTTTTTCTGTTCTCCACTTGTACTCAGGGACCGCACTTGACTCAGGGGACCGCACCGCACCTCAGGGAACGCACCTCAGGGACCGCACCTCAGGGACCGCACCTCAGGGACCGCTCCCGCACCTCAGGGACCGCACCTCAGGACCGCACCTCAGGGACGCACCTCAGGGACCGCACCTCAGCTGCTTTGGAGAAAAGCTTAAAGTTGCTCCTCAAACAGCCCCAGATTACCCTTGAAGTTCCATGACATTGCCTGGCTGTCCCTCCACGGGAGGATGTATGTGAGGGGGAACATGATGCCTGGCTGTCCCTCCACGGGAGGATGTATGTGAGGGGGAACATGAAAGGTCTGGCTGCCCCGGATAGGAACTGTCCTTTGGGCTGTAATCAGGAGGAGTCCATGGCG